AATCGCCAAACCACTTTGTGAACTTCTGGAGCAAGACAGGAAGTTCAATTTTGATGAAAAATGTTTGACAGCCTTCCTGGAGCTCAAGTCGAGGCTGGTGTCTGCACCCATCATTCAAAGCCCAGATTGGAGTCTTCCTTTTGAACTAATGTGTGACGCCAGCGATTTCGGCTTGGGAGCAGTTCTTGGGCAGCGAAAAGACAAAGTCTTCAGAACTGTTTACTACGCTAGTAGAACTCTTACTCCGGCACAAGCCAACCACACAGTGACGGAGAAGGAGATGCTGGCAGTTGTATTTGCATGTGACAAGTTTCGTTCATATCTAATATGCTCCAAAGTCACAGTATTCACTGATCATTCAGCAATCAAGCAACTCTTTGCTAAGAAGGATGCCAAGTCAAGACTAATTAGATGGGTATTGTTGCTCCAAGAATTTGACCTTGAGATCAAGGACCGGAGAGGAAGTGATAACAAGGTGGCTGACCACCTATCTCGATTAGAGAGGGCAAGCCCACAAGAAGGAGATCATATTAAGGAGACATTCCCTGATGAGCAGCTTCTGATGATCTCTGAAAAACAAGCTCCTTGGTTTGCAGATATTGCAAACTACTTGGTTGCCGGAATAGAGCCATACCACTTGATTCACCAAGGGAGAAAGAGGTTCCATCATGAAGCTAAGCAGTATTTCTGGGACGACCCTTTGCTCTACAAAAGGTGTTCTGACCAATTACTTCGAAGGTGTATCCCTGAAGGAGAACAACAGAAAATACTGGAGCAATGCCACAACTCCCCTTATGGAGGACACTTTGCTGGAGCAAGAACAGCAGCTAAAGTGCTGCAGTCAGGTCTATACTGACCCTCCTTGTTTAAAGATGCTAATGTTTTTTGTTAAAAAATGTGACAGGTGCCAGAGAACAGGGAACATTACAAGAAAGCATGAAATGCCCCTTGTTCCAATAATGGAGGTTGAATTGTTCGATGTATGGGGCATTGATTTCATGGGGCCTTTCCCACCTTCCTTTGGAAACAAGTATATACTTGTTGCAGTTGACTATGTGTCGAAATGGGTAGAAGCTGTTGCTACCCCCACCAATGATGCCAGGGTAGTGCTAAAGTTCATCAAGAAGAATATTTTCACTCGATTTGGAACCCCTAGAGCAATTACCAGCGACGGGGGTACACATTTCGTGAACAAACAATTCCAATTTCTTCTGAAGAAATATGGAGTGCAGCACAAAATTGCCACCCCTTACCACCCACAGACCAGCGGGCAGGTAGAGGTGTCCAACAGGGAGATAAAAAAAATCCTGGAAAAGGTCGTAAACCCAGATAGAAAAGATTGGTCCAAAAAATTGGATGATTCCCTATGGGCGTATCGAACAGCTTATCGAACGCCCATTGGCTGCTCCCCCTATAAGTTGGTGTTTGGAAAAGCGTGTCACTTGCCTCTGGAACTTCAACACAAAGCATTCTGGGCCATCACATTGCTAAACATGGATTCCAGAATGGCTGGGGAAAAGAGGTTGCTCCAGTTGGTTGAACTGGAAGAATTCCGGAGCAAGGCATATAAAAACGCCAACCTCTACAAGGAGCAGATGAAAAAGTGGCACGATAAAAAGCTTATCAAGAGAGAGTTAGAAGTTGGAGACAAAGTGCTGCTGTATCGATCCAGATTGAAACTGTTTCCTGGAAAGTTGAAATCAAGATGGGAGGGACCTTATGCAATCACTGAAGCACTTCCCAATGGAGCATTTACTATTGCTCATGAAACATCTGGAGCAACGCTCAGGGTAAATGGACACAGACTCAAAAAGTATAATAGAGGGATCAAGGAGCATGGGAGACTGACTTCTCATCTTGATGACCCAGCTGAAGTCTGACCCAAGGAGCAACAAGTCGAGCTAAGACTATAAACGAAGCGCTACTGGGAGACAACCCAGATTTATTTCTACGACATTCTTTTTATTATTGTCTTTGTTTGAGAAAATTAATGTGCTAACCATTGCAGGAAGCTAGTTTTGGGGTTGCTCTTGAGCAACCTGACCCCAAAAGTAAAGAGCAACCAACACTTAGAATTTGATCCCTCAATGTTGAAACCATGTTCTAATTGGGCTGATCCACTTGCCCCTTTTAACCCAAGGGCCTGCAATAGGCCGCATGCAAAAAAAAGAGAGAGAGAAAACCGAGTGGCGGAAGCAACGGAAGGATAGCAGCTCCACGTCGTGCTGTCACATCCCTCCAATCAAGCGGGAGTAGCAGTTTCAAAAAGATAAAACCGTCAGAGCAGAGGACAGTTGCTTTCCCCCAGGCATTTATGTGCAGCAGACGCTCTTCTCCCCCCATATCCACCACTCAGCAAAGCCACGATCACCACCATACAGAGCGTTTTAACCTTCCCATCATCTCCTTCGTTCCTTTATAAACAAACACAGAACTATTATTTCATTCTCATAATCTTTTCTCCTTTAACCCACAAAAATCCAACCTTTACTCCCCACTCCATCCCTCCTACTCAGAACCTTACACCATGACACGTCCAAAGGCCATTATACCTGTTGCTTCTATCTCCAAGAAGAGGACTCGAACAGGGAAAAAGCTCAAGCCTGAGCAAACCACAGTCGACCGCACAGTCATACCAGAACGGGGCATAGTCCTCAGTAGCTCCAAACACGGAGATCTCGACCGATGGCTGACCGAGGATATAGCAGAACTGGATTGGGAACTCTTCGTTGAGCCTCCCTCAAGAGCTCGCACCGAGTTCGTGACTGCATTCTTGGAGGGGATGAAGAAAGAAGATCTCCCAAAACTCCTCATCAGAGGCGTGAAAGTAAACTTCTCCCCTGAAGAAATCAACGAAGCATACAACACTGCTTCAGTTCCTGCTGAACAAGATGAGTTCGATAGATACTGTGCTGGCCGAGGAGATGAGGCCATAACTGGAGAAGTGCTCCGAGAAATAGGTTCAGAAGGAGCAACCTAGGGAACCAAGGAATCCATCCTTAGGAAGCAACTCAAATTCGAAGCAAAGGTATGGATGCATTTTATTAACTCCCGTCTGATTCCCGTGAGCAATGACTCTAGAGTAAACTGGGAAAGAGCAGTGCTGGTCTTCTGCATCTTGACTAAGAAGAAGTTTGATGTTGGGAGGATTGTTTACAAACAACTGGTGGCAAATGCACCAAGAAACTCCCCCTTCTTTTTCCCTTGTCTGGTCACTGAAATGTGCAAGATGTCTGGTCTAAAAGCCAATATCCCGATTTCGGATGAAATCATTCCAGAAGGGTCGGACATTGATCAGTCAACGATAAAAAGAATCAGAGACAATGAAGGATTGGAAAGTGAAGAGGAAGAAGAAAAAGAAGAGAAAGAAGAAAAAGAAGGAAAGGAGGAAGAAGAAGAAGCTGAAGTTTCGGGCAGTGTGAAGGACGAACCTCAGAAAACCCCAAGAAGGGAAAAACTTCCCTTTAAGAGAGCTCCTGCAAAGAGTGGACGAAGGCAGTTCCTAGTCGAGACAACTGACATGACTCAATGTCAAACTATGTTCGGTCTCGGAGCAGACCTTCTAGCCACTCAAGTGCAAGCCTTAGAAGACACAGTTGGAAGGGAGCTGCAATCTCTGAAAGAAGCCAGCTTCCTCATTAACAAAGAAAAGGTGGCCCTGCAGAATGAACTTGACCAGATAAAAAATGCTGGACCACTGCCTCTGAAAAGGAAGATTGAGGAAGGAGAAGGATCCTCAACCTTGCAAAACACGGTGAAAGACCTGGTGAAAGCAGTAGAGATGATGAACAAGAAAATGGAAGAAAGGGAGCAAGCCCATGAAAAAAACAGAAAAGACTGGAAGGAGGAGATCAGGCTCTTGAAAGATGAATTGATGAAGAACAAAGAGGAGGAAATTCAACTCCGATTGTACTACAAACAGAAGCAATAACAAATGCTCCGTTTAGCGGAGCAAGACAAGAAACTGGAGAGCATTAAGGGTCGCTACGGTGACCCCAGGTTCATTCGTTCCCTATCCTTTTTAACTTGTTTAAATCTGTTGGAATGAATGCCTGAAAGTTTTGTGGTGGAATGTTATTGACTTTGCTCTTAGATAAATGACTTCTGTGGTGTACCAGGGATTCGCCACCTGTTTTACCTTTCTTTTTAAAAAAATATTGTTTTTAATTTTTGCTAAGTTTACCGTCCTAAGTGTCCTGATCTGCTCAATGATTCTTTTTGCCTAGGATTTTGCTCCTTGAGATTCCCTAAAGAGTTTACAGTTTCTAACAAAGCAACATAGGGCATCACTCTGATTTGGAGCAACACCATGCACAAAAAGCAGCACTCCAAAAATCGGACACTCTGTTATTCAGTGGACTTATTGAGTTACCAAGGAAAGAACTTCAGGCTGTTTAAATAAATTACTCTGCCCCTGGTTTGAAAAAAAAAAAAAAGGGTCAGCTCCTCTGCTCCAAAAATTTCGCTCAAAGAGCTCAAGTCATCAAGGTTAGAGCAAGAGCCGCTCAAAGAGCATGCTGTTGAAGGTCAGCCTTATGCAAAGACAAGGGTAATTGACTTCCAGTTAAAAGACCTCAAAAGAAAGAAATAAGAAGGGAGCTAAGAAGTAAGAGAAGAAATCAAGCCAAAAAGTTCAATCCGGAAGCAACTCTGTGGGAAACTGACTAAAAGAGTGGAAGAGGTCACACACACAATGAAGCTGGTGAAACTCACAAGTCAGATGAGTGCTCTAATGAAGCGATGGAAGGAGTTAAGTTAACTCTTCATCGATAATCTCAAGGAGCATTAGTCTGCCACAAGAAGACTGTTGGTTGTGAAGGATTACTCGGGACGAGTAATATCTAGTTTTGGGGTGTTGATGGTCCTCAAAAGTTGAGGCCCATTAAGTGTAAATTGTTCCACAAAACCCATGTTTTGGTTATAAATCACTCCCTACAACCTTCTTCTTTCCATATAGAGCAACTGTTTTGAATAGTGGACCAGAGCAATACCGAAAGTGGGAGTTAAGGTAGACCTGGAGAAAATTTAACATTATCTTTTTCATATGACTATTGGGTTAGTTTGCTTTGTTCAGGACACCTAAGGCCCATCAGAAGGAACCACAAAATGAAGAGAGAAGAATGAGTGTTGCGCAGAAAGAAAAAAGCCTGCTGTAGTACAACAGCAGTCAAAGGAAGCAATAGGAAGCCGCCACGTCAGCCACAGCAGAGAAGGTGGAGGTGCTACCTCTGCTACAGTACGAAAGCAAAGAAGCTGATCAATCAAAAGCTGCCACGTCAGCTACAGCAGAAGGAGTGGAGGTGCCTCCCTGAATTCGATACTCCCACTCACAAAGGGAGCCAAAAGCAAGAGGGACCACTTCCATTTAAGGCCAAGCTGGCAAAAAGCAAGGCTACCATTGGAGAGGATTTCTATTCGGAGCTGAGCTGGCAAGAAGCAAAGCTACCATTGGAGAGGATTTAAACAGAGCAAGACCCTTGATGAAAGGAACAATGAAGATCAAATGAAGAACCCTATAAAAGGAACAAGCATTCCTCATAAAGAACATCATCAGCGCCCATCCTAGGACTCGTCATCTCTTTGTTTTCGTTTTGTAAAAATGCTCACTAGGAGCTAACTTCCTCTAAGTAGGTGAGGGTTCCATAGAAGTAATCCCTTTTGTCTTAGGATAACTTTGTAAGGAACACATATTTTATAAATGAATTTTGAGATGCTCTTTGGTTTAATTTATTGATTTTGTGAAACCCTTTGGGCTGGCAACCTCATCCCGGGACCACTCGGTTGATGAAACACTGACAAAGGCGTGTGGAGCATTCTCAAGATCCTGGGGTAGTTTAGCCTGAAGAAAGGAGGGAGAAACACCTGGAATGGGGAGCACTGCCATGTGAATCCATGCTCTTTTGAGAAGGCAGCATGGTTTCCTTGCATATAACTCCAAGTACTATGGAGTAACGTGGAGAGTAAGGCCTTACCCTCTGCTTACCTATAGCAAAACAAGGGAAGTAGCAAAATCCACTTGTAAAATATGCTACCAAGCAGGGTTAACCAAAGGGATGAAAACATGGAACCCGTAACACCTACTTGACTTTTTCTGAAATTAATCTTAACTAAAACTTCTATCACAACCTTTTCCTCACGATAACTGAACTGTGTTTTACCAGCTAATGCTCTTACTTTCATTTCGTTGACTGCTCTTGAAGTTACTTAAATTGATGCCTTTTTATTCGATGATCGTGCTAAGTCATTCACTGCTCTCATCTGGTCCAGAATGGTTAACATTGTTTAACTAGCTGCCCAGAGATCGCTCTTTGTGAAGCTTAGTTGAGAATAGTACTTTCTTTTATTGCTCCATTTTACAAATTAAGTTTCCTTTAGCGCTTCTTACTTCACAACTGCTCCCTGAGGACGATAAATCTGGGGCTACAATACCCTATATTGCTTGACACGTACGCTTGCGTATAGTTGGAGAGGGTTGCTCTTAGTCAGAGTAGATTGCTCCTGTTGGCAATCCTGATTATTATTCTGCACTCTTGCTCTCTGAAAAGATATTCCCGAGCAGCTCTCGGTTCGACCAAGCAATTATGTACTACGATTCGTTAACATGTGGTAATTGTATAATTTATCTCAGATTGATGCCCCATTGATTAGTGCTCTGGTTGAGCGGTGGAGACTAGAGACACATACTTTCCACATGACCCAGGGTGAGATGACGATCACCTAGCAGGATGTGGCCGGCATACTTGGATTTTCTACTGACGGCCTTGTTGTTACCGGATCTACAAATGAGGATTGGCCTGCTGTCCGTGCTGCTGTTTTTGGTGCGGAGCCACTGGCCAGTGGGTTTCATGGATCAGGTGACCTCTGCATGTCATTCTTGGATCGTTTATATACCCGGTGGACTGATGCAGAGGGTGATCATGATCGAGAGATCTATTTCACAAAGGCGCACATTGCCCGCATGCTAGGGTGTTGGTTACTAGCGGACAAGTCTGGAGGTAGCAACGTCGGTTGTCGGCTACTCCTGTTGCTTGGGGGAGGATTTGATGAGATCGAACGTTTCAGCTGAGGATCTGCGGTTCT